CGATTCTAAACTTGTAGAATCCATGGGCAACTACTTACAGGCGGCGACCAACAGCGAATTAATGGGGTTTCCCGAAATCATCTTTCCCTTTGGCTTCCTCAAAACCCTACTTTCGATGATCCTCGAGGCAACATGAGAAAAGCAGGCGGTAGAGAAACTTGAAACCCTAGAAGGAAAGAGTGTGTGACTTTTACTTACTTCCCTTTGCTCCCATTCTTGGAGAGAGATGATGAAGACGTTGCTGGGTGGAGGGAAAAATGAACAAGAGAGCTTCAGTTGGTATTTATAGATCAAGGCCGAGCTATGAAGGCGGTTAGCTAGGACGCGTTTCCGCTTTTATAGCGTTATTTAGCCGTTAGACGCGTTTCGAACACTTTTCGAACGCGTTTCGAACGCGTTTCGAACGCGTTTCAGACCCGTGTTTCCTGCTGGAATTTTTTACGATAAATAAGTCGGCTGGATGACAATACCAGCCCAACAATAAAAAAGATGGTCCATCAGAATATAGCCCAATAGTTAAACCCTCTGCAGCCCAAACGAATGAAAGACCATTAACTACTCGTATTGCCAAATACACCATTTTTGGGTTTAAAGCGAGGCCCAATATCCCTATTGCTCTTAATTGAGCCCAATTTTAGAATTTTTTTTATGGCAGCCTAATGTTATGAGCAGAACCTCTTTTATTAGTTTTTTTTTTCCAAACATCTTTTTACATAACTTGTTTCTCTATAAAGTTAAATGGAAGGGAAATTTACAGACATATTTGGGTTTTATGTTTAGTAAAATTACACATAAATGTAAATTTTATTTTATTTTGGGTCTATTAATTTATGAACATGTTTTAGATAGGACTGAAGTTTGGTAACGATATTTGGGATAATCGAAATACTGATGAATATCGAAACATATGCTAGTGAGTATTTTATCCATCTCAACTAGGCTTTCTCACTTGCTGCTAGCAGACCCTCATCCACCAAAATTATCATTTAATTATACATATTTTATTCCCTCATTATTTGACAACATAGATCAAGTTCATTTAGTTAGTTGTAAATGTTTATGGTTTACTTTTGCTTAGCCATCTCATGTTTTTGTTAATTATTATAATTTTATTAATGTTTGTTAGCATCACATTTTCCTATTTTGTTGTTATTATACTTGAGGCTTTTTTCCCCCTGGTTTTATGAGTGTTAGCGCCATTGTTTGCTTTATATATTTCAATAACGGTTTGTGGAGTTGCTGCGAGGAGAGGTGTATTTACTTTTATATATTTGGTTGAAGGGAATTAATTTGGTATATACCGATACCGAACAAAATATTAGGGATTGTGATTTAGCTACTGAATTTATTCTAGGATTGAGATTAAAATTGAATTTAGATTACTATTTGGGATTTATGTGTATGACACTGACATAGCGATAAAGCATTGATTACAGGGGTGTTCAAATGACTACCATGGTTATAACCAAACCAAATAAGGCTAAATTCCATTAACCATATAATACAATATCATAACCAAACCGTCCAAACTAATACAACAACCAAATTAACCAAACTAAAGTTTAATCGGTTTGGTTAATTGGTTAACCAGATTAACCAATATAAAATCACATTATCATTGACGATGAAATTTTCCGGTTAATGCAACAATTCGCAATTTATATTATGAATAAAACATAACAAACAAGACGTAGTTATAGTTGACCCTTAACAAAAATACATGCAACTAAGACAATTATCTTACGATTAGTATAGAAGTATTCACCTAACAAAAATTTATGACAATGGTATGAGTTAATGAATTTTTGTGTTTGTGTAAATTGACTTAGTCTCTTAGCTAGGGGTGGGAATCGGTAATACGGTAACCGGTTTACCGTTTTACCGAACCGGTAAAGGTCGGTAAACGGTAAACCGATTACCGTCGGTATCGGTATCCGGTGGCGACGGCGAAGATCCAATTTACCGGACACAGGGTCGGTATTTACCGTCGCTAAATCGGTAAATACCGAATTGGAAACGGCGGCGTTTTAGGGAATGAAACCCTAGCTGAAAGGCTGCGCGCCCCTGCCAAAACGCAAACGCCTCCTTCGCCCCTTCGCCCTCGCCGCTTCATCCCTTCGCCCTCGCCGCTTCGTGCCTTCGACCCTTCCCCTTCGCACGCAGAGTCGCCGACGGCGACGCAGAGCAGAAGACGCCGCCGCCTCTCTTCTCCAGTCCGCCTCTCCCGCCGCCTCTCCACTCCGCTTCTCCTTCGCCCGACGCAGAGCAGAAGACGCCGCGCCGCCATTCCTCCTCCAGTTGCGGGCCGCCACCACCTGCCCTAATCCCCTGCATCCAAAGTTTCCAAACCCTCACATCACTCGAACAATCACTCACCAGTCCTAATCCCCTGCCTCTGTCGTCCTCCTCCCAGTCCCAACCCTCACATCACTCACCAAATCTCCATCTCTGCCCCCTCTCGATTTCCCCGGCAGAGACGGAAACGCATCCAATAATCGCCTCTGCCGTCCTCCTCCCAGTCCTAACAGCCAACGACCACCAACAGCCATCCGCCATTCCTCCTCCAGCCAACAGGCCATCCGCCATTCCTCCTCCAACGCAAACTAGCAACTCAACAAATTAGCTTGGGCGGTAATTCGGTAAACCGGTTTGTAACCGTTTACCGGTAATTCGGTAATCGGTAAACCGGTTACAAACCGGTATCGGTAAACGGTAACCAGTTTGCCCACCGTCGGTATACCGAAACCGGTAAATTCGGTAAACGGTTTACCGTTTACCGACCGATTCCCACCCCTACTCTTAGCAATTATCATAGGCTGGAAATGACATTCCTTTCAAGTTTTCATCCATCATAATGTATTAAATTTATCTAAATTAGGCGTCCATAAGTTGTGGTCTACATTTTACATATACAAATATACACTATATGAGCAATATTGAGCTTTATATTTTATGAGTCTAAAAGGGATGAACGTTAACTCTTGAGTGGTTATGCAAAGTATTAAGTATGTGTATATAATATATGTTAGATATATGACTAATTATTTAACTGGTTAATTTGGTTTGACTGGTTAGGAGTGTCTGAAACCAAACCAAACAAGCTAAAAACTTTAACCAAACCAAACCAATTATTCAAATTAACCAAACCAAATTATCCAAATAGTACCGGTTAAAACGGTTACCATGGTAACCAAACCGTTTGAACACCCCTAGATTACATCCCTAATTTTGGAATGCTTGGTGTTACCAAGTCTATGGAAATTATGCCTGCACCTTTGTCCTTTCATAACAAAAAACAAAAAACAAAAAACAAAAACAAAAACAAAAACAAAGGAGACCCATACTCTACCTTAATCTTGCCGTTCAAGATCCGGAACATGTTATTTTTACATTTTACTTAATCTTCACATATGATTTACCTTACACAAGAATAATTTTACGTACATTGAAATACTTGAACAAACTAAATCAAGGGATCATTCGGAAAACCTATAACTTTGAAAATCCAGCTTGCGCGTGCAAAGTAGCAAACACACAGTCATCTGCTCTTCTGTTGAAGCAAAATATAGAGCAATGAATGATTTGTCTTGTGAATTACATCGGCTAGTTTATATTTTCAAAGATTTAAATGTTTGCTTTACTTCTCCTTTTCTCTATGTACCGTGACAACACCTCTGCTATCCGAATCGCAGAGAACCCAATAATTCATGAGTGGACCAAGCACATAAAGAGCGACTACCACCTCATCAGGTATGAAAATGTCTTCCGGACTCATGAAACTCTTCCACTTGTCAACAACATCCAAATAGCCGACATATTGACCAAGTTACTATCGATTTATATAGGTTCGACAACTTGATATGCAAGCTGGGTATGTGTGATATACATGTTCAATTTTGAGGGGGTGTTAGAGATAGTATAAAAGTATAGGTGGACAAATGTAATTTTGTTGTTTCTGGGTAGTTATGTGTAATTTGTTATATTATAGGTACTGAAATGAAACTTGGCCACTCATATAAATATGGCTGCACTGAAGCAAGCAACTCAACGTTTCAGTCTAACGAGAAGTCGAGAACTGATTCTTTCTTCCGCAAGATCCCAATTCACAAATCTGACATGGCCAAGTTGGGGTGTGATGGGAGTCGGAGAATCGAAGCGCCAAGCGCTTTCTATGTCCGCCGGCGCGATAGTCGAAGTCGAAATGTCCCTCGGTCGATCCCCTGTAGCCGGAGATGAGAATAGAAGCGTCAGCGTCTCCCTGTCTCGGCCGTCGATATCGGGAAAATTGAAACGCAGGTCGGAGTGGAGCAGGAGAATCGAAGCTCCAAGCTTCTCCCTGTTTCGGCCATGACGACCCCTGTACCATTCATCTCCTCTGGCGAGGGTTGGAGATTCTCGAAACCCAGAGTTTGAATCATCGAAACTTTTGGTGTCGTCAAACTGCTGCTGTCGAAGAATGAAGGGAAATCGAGACCCTCGACGGCCTCGATTTCTTCACTCCCATTGGAGAAAGGGAGAATCGAAGCTCTTGGCACTGCTATATTACCGTCGGAGATGCAGGGAAATCGAAACTCCGGCGGGGCGGCGGCCTCGATTTCTTTACTACCACCAGGGCGTCCTTGAGATTCGCTCCAGGCTTTTAATATTTGCCGCGGCTCGATTAAAGTAGCTACGTCTCGTAGTCTGTGTAATTAGTTACTAATTACTAGTTTAAGAACCAGGAAATTTTGCAGTAGGCTCGCTTTGTATCTGTTGATTTCTGGCAACTACGGTTGAATGCAGAGCAAGCTTTATATTTGTAGTCCATCTTCTCCAGCCGCTGAGGCTTTTGATGCGGCAAAACAGAGTTGGGTTTCGCATCTACTGTCTCCTTAGTTTTTCATATTCTTCTATCCTCATACAAAGACATGTTCTTCCGTAAACCAACTTTCCTACGAGGATTATCCGCTTCTATACACATGCTTTTGCTGTTGGGGTTGCTTTTCTCCCTTGTGAGGAAAATGTTCTGGGTGCGAAATCCTGGTGATAGTTCTAAGGGAAGTTGTTCAGGCAAGCATAAGAAGAGGTGTATTTACTATAACACGAGCGTGCTATGCTCTCTTGGTGTTTCATCCTTGAACCTAGTGTTGAGCTTATACAGCTATTTCAATTGGTCCTGGAATGGGAAGTCTGACGATGATGATGCGGTGATGACCCTTTTCGATTTAGCCCTCAGAACTTGCTCCTGGGGCGGGCTTAGCGCTTTTCTGCACACCCAAGTGTCAGATTCAGCCGAAGCGAAGTTTCCTCTTCCCTTGATGATATGGTGGGGGCTTTATCTCTCAAGCTCCTGTTATTGCCTTGTTGTTGATATTGTGCTCTACAGTCAACTCCATGCATCTTCCCAGATTCTGCATTTGGTTTCTGATGCAGTCTCTGTGTTGGTTGCTCTGTTTCTCTGTTATGTGGCGCTTTTCAGATATAGAAGTGACAATGATACTAGTATTGATAACAATACACTTCTGGAAGAGCCCCTCTTGGATCATGATGAGTCAAGTTCTGGAAGAGCTTCAAATGGATCATGTTTCGCTCGCCATTCATATGCTGTTGTTTGGAGCATTTTTTCTTTCTCTTGGATCAATTCTCTGATTGCTCTCGGGTATAAGAAAGCATTAGTGGTTGAGGATGTTCCTCACCTTCGTAAAGGTGACAGTGTTTTCGGGGTGTTCCCATCACTTAAGGAGAGGATTGTTGAATCTGATCTGGAAACTATTACAGCTTTCAAGCTTGCCAAGGCATTGTTCCTCGCAGCTTGGATCGAGATTCTGTTCATAGCTTTTCTGGCCTTGTTGAGCACGGTAGCGAGTCATGTTAGTATCTCTGTCCTGGCCTTTTTCTTTGAATCTTTTGATGAGAGAGGGAAATACAAGCAGTATTACTTCGCCTCAACGTTTCTGGTTGCAAAGGTCGTGGAGTGCTTGTTACAAAGCCAAGTGCAGTTTATGCTGCAACGTATTAATATCAGGACGCGTGCATTGATGGTCACGATGATCTACAACAAGGGCTTGACCCTCTCGTGTTGGTCGAAGAGTGCCCTAACTAGCGGGGAAATCATCAATATGGTGACAGTGGATGCAGAGAGAATTATCGACTTGATGGGGTGCTTGCATAGCCTGTGGTTTGGTAGCTTGAGTGTTTTATCAGCCTTGTTCCTACTACAAAAATATTGGGGTTTGCATCCATATTAACTTTGGCTGCGATTATAGTTGTAGTGACGATCAGTTTCTCTTTGCTAAGATGCCAAAAGATTTATCAGGAAAAGGTGTGAGTCGAAACATGCAAGAATGAAAGCAACATCTGAGACGTTGAGGAACATGAGAGTTCTGAAGCTGCATGCTTGGGAAATGAAGTTTCTAAACAAGATCATCGGCCTGCGGAAGGTAGAGACTGAATGGTTAAAAAAATGTGCTTTTGCTTCTGCTTCGATTAGTTTTTACTTATTGACTGCCCCGACTTTTGTTGCTGTGGCTACGTTCACTTTGTATATGCATTATTACGGTATCCCACTAGATTCAGGGGAGATGTTAACAATACTTGCAGTGTTCGAGAAGCTTCAAGCTCCCATCTATGAGATCCCAAACGCCATTTCCATGTTGTTTCGGGTGAAGGGTTCGTTTGATCGAATCGTAAGCTTCCTCGGTCTTGGAGACTTGCCGGATGATGTTGTGAAGAGGCTCCCAAGAGAGGCTTCTGATACTGCGATCGAGATCGTTGAAGGGAGTTTCTCTTGGGATTCATCTTCACCAAACCCCCCGATGTTGAGAGATGTGAATCTGAAGGTGGACCGTGGCATGAAGGTTGCTGTTTGTGGTACTGTTGGTTCTGGAAAATCAAGTTTGCTGTCCTGCATTCTGGGAGAGGTGCCCAAGATCTCTGGCTCCGTTGTTCTCTGTAGGACAAAGGCTTATGTTGCTCAGTCACCTTGGATACAGAGTGGCAAGATTCAGGACAACATTTTGTTTGGACAAGAGATGGGCAAAGACGAGTACGACCGAGTACTGGAAGATTGTGCACTGAAGAAAGACCTGGAGATGTTGTCTTTTGGTGATCAAACAGAGATTGGTGAGAGAGGTGTCAATTTGAGTGAAGGACAAAAGCAGAGGATTCAGATTGCTCGTCCGCTCTACCAAGATGCTGACGTCTACCTGTTTGATGATCCTTTCAGTGCTGAGGATGCCCATACTGGATCTCATTTGTTTAAGGTGTGGATTCATAATCTTAACAGTAACTGGCACTATATCTACAGCATTGTTCTTCCCTTGAGCTTGTGCTGTTTCTTTTTGTAATGCAACAGGAAGTTTTGCTTGGTCATTTGAGCTCCAAAACTGTGGTTTGCGTCACTCATCAAGTTGAATTCTTACCTGCGATGGATTTAATTTTGGTAAGTACTTCGTACTTTAGTTTCAATTAGTTAATTGCATAGTTTTAATTTTGGAAATTCTCTTTAGCAAATAGACTTTTGACACCGGCAATCAAAATGAACAATCAAGTATGAGTCTTCTACTATTTTGATTTCTTTGTCAGTTAAATGTGAATTTACATCTCTCTATAATTTGACTTCATTGTGTGAGCAATGAGTGGTTTTATAAGGATTTGGTTGGGTTCCAATCAAATTGTGAATTTAATTATAAAAGCCTCAAATTCCAATTGTGCGTTTTGGTCAGGTCATGAAAGATGGAAGGATAACTCAGAGTGGAAAGTACAGTGACATTTGCCAGAGTTCAAGGCCTGGTTTCGGGGAACTTTTTGGCGCACATAAGGCGGGTTTGTCATCGAACGACCCAAAAGCTCTTGAAAGTGTGGTGAGAAGTATGAGTAAGGAAATTGGCGAGACGAGCAGCGGCAACCAGACTGAGCACAAGGATGGAAACAAGGTTTTGCAGAATGGTGGGGGCGGGATAACAGATCTGGGTCGTCAGCTTGTTCAAGAAGAAGAGAGGGAGAAAGGAGGAGTCGGATACCATGTCTACTGGACGTATCTCAGCACAGCGAGTGGAGCTGTTGTAATAGTTGCAGAGATAGTCTTCCACCTGCTCCAGTACGGCAACAAGAAGTTGCTGGTTTGGGCAACTGGATCAGTTTTCCAGCAGGACAACCCTCCGTTCGGTGCCTTCAAGCTGATAGTTGTGTTCCTGTTGTTGAATATCTTTGGCTTTGCTTGCGTGGCAGCCAGATCCATTGTTCTTGCCGTTAAAGCGTATGACACTGCGACTCTGCTCTTCAACAAGATGCACCTATGTATTTTCTGTGCTCCCATGTCCTTTTTGGACTCGAACCCTACTGGGAGAATTCTTGGCCGTGTAAGTTAACTTGGCATCCATTTTTCTTTACATATGGACTTCTGTTTCTTGCCCCCCAAGCGAACTGCTTTTCTTTTATAGGCGTCTACGGATCAAAGTGAAGTGGATCAGAAAATTCTAGGAAATGTTCAATCAGCCACCTCTTCTATAATCGGGCTTCTGGTAGGCATTGCAGCAGTGTCTCAGGTTGCGTGGCAAGTTCTTTTAGCATTTATTCCTTATATTGCCATCATCTTCTGCTATCAGGTATGAGTTATTGATGAAAAGAAATCTGGCCTTGTTATCATAAATATATATTTTTTGTAACCATTCCATTTGTTTTGGTAAATACAATTTTACTTTTGACAATATATAAGTCAAACCTTTAAAAATACAAAATAGTAGCCAATTTTTTTTATAACATTACAAAAATTTAGCCCATGATTTGTTACCGTAATAGTACTGCTCAATATCAGCTGCCACATTAGATTCCGTTATAAAAGGCGTTGAATCTTTTTTCGGGTAAATGAAAAATATTAGCCAAGCCTTTTAACTTAGATAAATATTAGCAAGCCCAGATCCAAGTATACTTTACTCATACCATGCCCATAATTAATGGGTTTACTCGGGTGTGGGTAATTTGGGTACGGTTCAACAATGCCACAGCATTGTCCAATGGAGCTGTGTTTATCACAATTAGATCAATTCAAATTTGTCACCATAAAAAAAATGATATTAATAATCCAAGTGTGTGTCACAATCTATTTATCTATCTATCTATATAGCAATACTACATACCAGCAGCACGGCAGCTTTCAAGGTTGGCAGGAGTGACAAGAGCTCCAGTCATCCAACATGTTGCTGATACAATTTCTGGAAGGATAACCATAAGGAGCTTTGATCAACAGCTAAGATTCCAAGAGACAGCTATGAGACTTACGGACGTATATTCTCGCTCCAAGTTTCATAGCGCTGCCACAATGGCATGGCTCCGTGTTCGCCTTGATCTTTTATCTTCCATCATATGTGCTGTGTCTCTCTTTTTCATCGTATTCCCTCCCCCTGGAACAGATCCATGTGAGTAAATCCTCTGCTATCATCTTCATTTCCGCCATTACTATTCATACTTCCAGGTAAAAAAAACAAAAAACAAATGTTCATCTTCGTTTTTCTTTCATTTCTTGGTCCCAAAGCCGTCACTTCCGTAGCCTTGACATATGCAACAAATATATACTTCGTTCAAGCATGGTTGTGGGACATTAGTGATGTGGAGAACAACATTGTAGCAGCGGAGCGAATTCTTCAGTACACTTCTATTCCCAGTGAGAATTCTCTTGTAGATGCAGTAGAACAGATTCGACCAGGTCCTTCTTGGCCATCACGAGGACAAGTTGACATTAGTAGCCTGCAGGTACAATTGTTTCCCTTTCTTAGCCATTCTTTGCCTTGAAAAACTTTGCATTCTAATCCATGGTGAACCCTTACAGGTTCGATATGCCCCACATTTGCCACTTGTGTTGAGAGGTCTGACCTGCACATTTGAAGGAGGAAAGAAAACAGGAATCGTGGGCAGAACGGGCAGTGGTAAATCAACCCTTACACAGACACTTTTCAGGATCGTGGAACCAACAGCAGGGCGGATTACGATTGATGGTGTCAATATCTCATCAATCGCACTCCATGATTTGCGATCAAGGCTCAGCATTATACCTCAAGATCCAACCATGTTTGAAGGGACTGTAAGAAGGAACCTGGACCCTCTTGAGGAATACCGTGATGAACAGATTTGGGAGGTTCGTCTTTTTCTGCTTTTACTCTGCCTTATTTTCAGTGACGTTTGTTACTATGGCTTGGTATGATGTGTTCCTCAATTATACCTCTTCATGTGTTTGAACAATGACAAATGTTAGGCTCTGGATAAGTGCCACCTTGGAGATGAAGTTAGGAAGAAGGAGAAAAAGCTGGATTCTGCCGGTAGTTTTTATTTATGTGTTTGATAGAAAGGGTTTGCTTATTGACACTGTAATTAGTAAAGGTAAACAAATGATTTTAATTGCTGGCTTGCAGTGACTGAGAATGGAGAGAACTGGAGTATGGGGCAGAGACAGCTAGTATGTCTTGGCCGTGTTCTGCTGAAAAAGAGCAAAGTGTTGGTTCTGGATGAAGCTACTTCCTCAGTAGATACAGCCACTGATAATCTGATTCAGCAAACACTTAGACAACACTTCTTCGATTGCACAGTTATCACCATCGCCCATCGAATAACATCTGTTCTTGATAGCAACATGGTTCTTCTTCTCAGTCACGGTAAGTTTATCTGAACTCTTTATCTCTGGTTAGTATTAGGAAAAAAACATCAGATTGCTGATGATGTAGTATATCGTCTTTATTGTGTTGACCAGGCTTGATTGAAGAATATGATACACCAGCAAGATTGTTGGAGAACAAGTCGTCCTCGTTTGCTCAACTTGTAGCGGAGTACAGTGAGAGGTCGAAAGAACAGAATTGAACCCAATCAAAGCTGCTGCCTCCGATGATGATGAAAAGTTCAGGAATGTTGTATTAATGGAGGGAGGAGTTTTGGGGGAGTCACGTTTAGGCCTTAGTTTATTCCTAGCTGCATCTTAAGATTTTGCAGCTGTTAACTGAATCCTTATGAAACACTGAATAACATGCTTGAAAACTGTTTCGAGTTATTTCTTTCTCTTTGGTGAAAGAAACCTGACAGAATCTGGTGGACGAACTACACAAAACTTCGGCTATCTTGGCGGGTAAATCCCTAATTTTTCCCCCCTACTTTCAACCTGTCGATAGGGTTTTGGGCCGAAGTTTACTGAATGGGCTAACGGGAGCCCACATAGAATTGATTGTCAAACTGGACAGGAAGGATCTTTCTGGACTAAATGATTAAATTCCGGGGCTTCTTTGCGGAAACCAGAATTTAAGGGCTCATTTTATATTCAGTATTAAGTTCAAGGACGGAAGTAGTATTAAGAAAAAATTCAAAGAACTGCCGTCGGCCTTCTTCCAGTCCACCACTACACTGAAGAGGAGAGGGAGCAACCACCAGTTCCGCCGCCGCAACTGCCAGCCACCACTCTTCATTTCCGATTTAGCCGTAAGAACTTGCTCTTGGGGTGCGCAGCGCTTCTCTGTTGACGGGACGTGATGCCGGAACGAAATAGAAGGCGGCAGCACGTGTCTGCTTGTATGTGACGGCACGGGATGCCGGAACGAAAGAGAAGGCGGCGGCGGAGGGTTCCGCGAAGACGGCGGCGACGGCGCTACTTCCCGTCTGCTGCTTGTTCGTCTGTTTTCCCCTCTCTTGATTCGAGTGCACGCCCTAATTAAGCTCTCTGTTCTTCTTCTTGTCAAGCTGGCTCCTATCGTAACCCAGTCCGATTTCGCGATTCAAGGAGAAGAACCAAGGAAGGATTAAGGAAGACGACTCGGAGGAGGCGTAAATGGAGATCCGGCCAGGGAATCGTAAAGTAAGAACTACCAATTCTAAGACTTCGAAATTTTGGGGCTTTCGTGTTCATTGATTCTCTACTGTTCTTGGTCTCTGTTGCGTTGAAAGTGCCTAGGAATTATGTCACAAATTTTTGGGACGGTCTCAAGTTTGAATTTTTATATTGCCGCGGCAGAGGTTGTTCGATGAAAGTGACTACTGTGTATTCTATGCAAGACCTAGTAAAGGACACAGGCGAGTTTGCTGTTGACTCGCTTTAGACCTCTTGATTCCTGGCAACTACCGTCCAATGCAGAGCAAAATTTATTTTCATAATCCATCTTCTTCAGCCGCTGAGGCTTTTGATGCAGCATAATAGAGTTGAGTTTCTCAGCTACTCTCATCTCTAGCTTTTGATATTCTTCCATCCTCATCCAGAGCCAGATCAGTAGACGGAGACATGTTCTTCCTTAAACCAACTTTCCTACGAGGATTATCAGGTTCAATACACCTGCTTTTGCTGCTTGGGTTGTTTTCTTCCCTTGTGAGGAAAAAGTTCTGGGTGCGAGATCCTGGTGATGGTTCTAAGGGAAGTTGTTCTGGCAAGCACAAGAAGAGGTGTTTTTACCATACCATGAGCGTGCTCTACTCTCTTTGTCTTTCATTCTTCAACCTAGAGTTGACTTTATACAGTTACCTCAAGTGGTTCGGGAATGAGTGGTCTAACGATGGTGATATAGTGATAACCCTTTCCGATTTAGCCCTCAGAACTTGCTCTTGGGGCGCGCTTACTGCTTTCCTGCTCACCCGAGTTTCAGATTCAGCTGAAACAAAGTTTCCTCTTTCCTTGAGGACGTGGTGGGGGTTGTATCTTTCAATTTCCTGTTATTGCTTTGTTGTTGGCCTTGTCTTGTACAGTCAACTCCATGCCCCTTCCCAGATTCTGCATTTGGTTTCTGATGCAGTCTCTGTGTTGGCCGGTCTGTTTCTCTGTTCTGCGGAGTTCTGGAGACATAGAATCAGTCACAATGACAGTGATATTGATGACAGTACACTTCTAGAAGAGCCTTTTCTGGATCATGATGAGTCGAGTTTGGAGCCGAAAAAGTCAACAGGGGATGACATTGTCACTCCCTATTCATGTACTGGTGTTTGGGGCCTTATTTCTTTCTCTTGGATCGGTTCTCTGGTTGCTTTTGGGTATAAGAAAGCATTAGAGGTTGAGGATGTTCCTCAGCTTAATAAAGATGACAGTGTCTTTGGGGCATTCCCGTCTCTTAAGGAGAGGATTGTTGAATCTGATAAGGGCATTATTACAACTTTCAAGCTTGTTCTTGGTTATAAGAAAGCATTAGAAGTTCAGGATGTTCCTCAGCTTAATAGAGATGACAGTGTCTTCGGAGCATCCCCATCTCTTAAGGAGAGCACTATTACAGCTTCCAAGCTTGCCGAGGCATTGTTCTTCTCAGTTTGGAAAGAAATTCTGATGATAATTTGCCTGACCATTTTGAGCACAGCAACATATCTTGTTTCAACTATCATGATTATTTCCCTTGTACCTGTGGACGAGGAAGGGAGATTCACGCATCAAGGGTATATCTTCTTCCCCATACTGTTTCTGGTTTCAAATGCTGTCGACTGCTTGTCACAAAGCCAAGTGCGATTTCGGTTGCAATGCATTGGTATTAGGACGCGTGCATCGCTGGTTACAATGATCTACAACAAGGGCTTGACCCTCTCGTATCAGTCTAAGCTTGCCCAAAGTAGCGGGGAAATCATCAATGTTGTGACAGTGGACGCCGAGAGAATCAGTGACTTGATTGGGTACTTGTATCACCTGTGCTTTGGTATCTTGAATATTTTTTCAGCCTTGTCCATGCTAGGCACTATGTTGGGTTTTGCATCTATAGTAGTTTTCGCTGCAATTGTGGTCATAATATGGATAGGTTTCTCCTTGCTAAGATGGCAGAAGACTTATCAGGAAAGGGTGAGGGAATCGAAAAAGGAAAGAATGAAAGCAACATCTGAGACGTTAAGGAACATGAGAGTTCTGAAGCTGCAGGCTTGGGAAATGAAGTTTCTGGACAAGATCATTGGCCTGCGGAAGGCAGAGACTGGATCGTTGAGAATGTGTGCTTTCTCCTCTGCTTTCATTAGTTTTTACTACTCGGCTGCCTCGACTTTTGTTGCTGTGGTTACTTTCGCTTTTTTCGACATGCCAATAGATTCTGGGCAGATGTTAGCAGCACTAAATTCTTTTTCGAGACTTCAAGTACCCATCTATGAGCTCCCAAAATCCATTTCCATGTTGTATGAAGTGAAGGTTTCATTTGGTCGAATTGTAGGCTACCTTAGACTCCACGACTTGCCGAATGATGCTGTGAAGAGGCTTCAAGGAGGGTCTTCTGATATTGCTATTGAGATCGTTGAAGGGAGTTTCTCTTGGGATTCATCTTCACCAAACCCCCCAACGTTGAGAGATGTAAACCTGAAGGTGTGCCGTGGGATGAAGGTTGCTGTTTGCGGTGCTGTTGGTTCAGGCAAATCTAGTTTGCTCTCCTGCATTCTGGGAGAGGTGCCAAAGATGTCCGGCTTGGTCGAGCTATGTGGGACAAAGGCTTATGTTGATCAGTCACCTTGGATCCAGAGTGGTAAGATTAAGGACAACATTTTGTTTGGCCAAGAGATGGACAAAGACAAGTACGACCGAGTACTGGAAGCTTGTGCACTGAAGAAGGACCTCAAGATCTTTTCATTTGGTGATCAAACAGAGATTGGTGAGAGAGGTGTCAATTTGAGTGAAGGACAAAAGCAGAGGATTCAGATTGCTCGTGCCCTCTACCAAGATGCAGACATCTACCTGTTGGATGATCCTTTCAGTGCTGAGGATGCTCATACTGGATCGCATTTGCTTAAGGTCTAGATTCACTAGTTCCCTTTTTGTTCTGATTCGTAATCATAATTCGTAACCGGCACTATATCTGCAGCATTGCTCTTCCCTTGATCTTGTGCTGTTTCTTTTTGTATTGCTGCAGGAAGTTTTGCTTGGTCATTTGAGCTCCAAAACTGTGGTTTACGTCACTCATCAAGTTGAATTCTTATCCGCCGCAGATCTAATTTTGGTGAGTACTTTTCCATGTTTTAAGTTTCAACTAGTTAATTGCCTGCCCCATGCTTCTGATTCCGGGTGATTTGATTTGGAAAATTGAAATATGAAAGCAAATATCAGTTTGCTAATAAACTTTGGGGCTTTGATACCAACAATACAAATGAATCTCTTTAAAAAAATAACATTCAAAAAGAATGTTTGCCCTTTTAACAACTAAATTAAGGTCGCCTGTTGGGCGGAAGAACTCAATTTGATAAGTGAAACTTCAATTATTTGTATTTCTTGTGATCACTCAGAGCAAGAGAATTAGATGCTTTCAAAAGCGATAGTCACCTTGGTAATATACTAAAAAATTAAAGAAAGTCACAAATATTTTTATGCTAAAGTTACACTATTCAGTATCAGCTTCTAAAACGGCAATCCACTTGAAAATTATTAGTAAATTATAAGCTCTCAAAATAGGAGTTCGTCGTTGATGATGTAGAATTTTCTCCAAAATATACAAAAGTGGTTATAATTTTATAGAACTCGTAAAATAAATTGTCTATGTGCAAAAAAAAAAAAAAAAAAAAAATTCGAATGGAAATGAATAAGATACAAGCAGTTAAAATTGAGCGGTGAAAATAAAAGAGAAAGTGTGACACGTGAATTCCTCTAGTTGGTTGGAAGATAGATTGATATTTTAATTTTAACTAAAAAAACTTCATTGTATTGAGTTGATTGATTACAATTAGTTGGTAATTTTGTTTTATTGCTCAATACCCTTGATGTCCGCCACTGATTTTGCTGCACGTGAAACTCCAATTTTACGATTTGGTCAGATCATGAAAGATGGAAGGATAACTCAGAGTGGAAAGTACAGTGAGATTTGCCAGAGTTCAGGGACTGATTTCGGGGAAATTTTTGGTGCACACAAGGTGGCTTTGTCAGCGATTGACTCGAAACATTTAGAAACTGCGGTGCGAAGCACGAGTAAGGAAATTGGCGAGACGAGCAACAGCAACCAGGCTGAGCACAGGAATGGTGGTGGGATAACAGATCAGGGTCAGCTTGTTAAAAAAGAAGAGAGGGGAGTAGGAAGGGTTTGGTTCTCTCTCTACTGGAAGTATCTCAGCACGGCGTCTGCTGGTGCTATTGCAGTAGCTGCAGAGTTGGTTTTCCAGCTGCTCCAGTATGGCAACAAGAAGTTGTTAGCTTGGGCAAGTGGAGTATCATCAGAACAGGAAGAGCCTATTTACCGTGTGCTCAAGCTGTTCACTGTGTACGTGGTTTTGACTATCGCGGGCCTCGCATGCCAGGTAGCCAGAACCACCGTTCTTGCAGTTACAGCGTATGAAACTGCGACTCGGCTCTTCAACAAGATGCACCTGTGTATTTTCAGTGCTCCCATGGCGTTTCTGGACTCCACCCCTACTGGGAGAATTATAGGCCGTGTAAGTTAACTGGGCCTCCATTTTTCTTTTTATGCTATTGAATTTAATACGCGTAGATAAAATCCATGCTAAGCTAACTGCTCCTTTTATAGGCGTCTACGGATCAAAGTGACGTTGATCAGAAAATTCTAGGCCAAATTCACACAGCTGCCTCTTCGATAATCCAACTTCTGATAACCATTGCAGTTATGTCTCAGGTTGCGTGGCAAGTTTATTTAGTAATGATTCCTTATATTGCTATCGGCTTCTGCTGTCAGGTATGAGTCATATCAATTCAAGGTGTGTCACCATTGTAAAAAATGATGATGATAATAATAATCCAAACGTCCGCCGCCAACTGTTTATCTGTAGCAATACTACATATCAGCAGCACGGCAGCTTTCGCGGCTGGTAGGAGTGTGCAGGGCTCCAGTTATCCAACATTTGTCTGATACAGTTTCTGGAAGGATAACCATAAGGAGCTTTGATCAACAACCAAGATTCAAAGAGACAGCTATGAGAGTCACAGATGTATATTCCCGCTGCAAGTTTCATAACGCTGCCACAACAGAGTGGCTCCGTGTTCGCCTTGATCTTTTATCTTCTATCATATGTGCGGTGTCTTCGCTTTTCATCATCTACTCGTCCCCTAAAACAGATCCATGTAAGTAAGTCCTTTGATATCATCTTCATTTCAGTCATTACTTTACCATACTCCAAAGTGAAAAACAACTGTTTATCTTCGTTTTTCTTGCGTATCTTGGCCCCAAAGCTGTCACTGTCATAGCCTTGACATATGCAACCAACATATACTTCCTTCAAGCATGGTTGTGGGACATAAGTGATGTTGAGAACAGAATTGTATCAGTGGAGCGAATTCTTCAGTACACTTCTATTCCCAGGGAGAATTCTCCGGAAGTAGAAGCGAATCAACCAGATCCTTCTTGGCCATCACAAGGACAAGTTGATATTAGTAGCCTGCAGGTACAATTGTTTCCTTTTTCAACCATTCTTTACCCTGAAAAACCTTGCATTCTAACCCACTTTGAACCCTTACAGGTTCGATATGCCGAAAGTTTGCCACTTGTGCTGAGGGGCCTTACCTGCACATTTGAAGGAGGAAAGAAAACAGGAATTGTTGGCAGAACGGGCTGTGGTAAATCAACCCTTATACAGACACTTTTCAGGATCGTGGACCCAACAGTCGGGCAGATTATGATCGATGGCGTCGACATCTCAACAATTGGAAGCCGTTATTTGCGTTCAAGGCTCAGCATCATACCTCAAGATCCAACCATGTTTGAAGGGACTGTAAGAAGCAACCTGGACCCTCTTGGGCAATACCCTGATGAACAGATTTGGGAGGTTAGTTTATTTTTTCCTTTTTCTCTCTAATCTGCCCTCTTTTGAGTGATGTTTCATTATGGTTGGATTATGTGTTCCTCAATCAATCCTTTGTGTTTGAACTATGTCAAATGTTAGGCTCTGGATAAGTGCCAACTTGGAGATGAAGTTAGGAAGAAGGAGAAAAAGCTGGATTCTGCCGGTTAGTTTTTATTTATGTGTTTGATAGAAAGGGTTTGCTTATTGACACTGTAATTAGTAAAGGTAAACAAATGATTTTAATTGCTGGCTTGCAGTGACTGAGAATGGAGAGAACTGGAGTATGGGGCAGAGACAGCTAGTCTGTCTTGGCCGTGTTCTGTTGAAAAAGAGCAAAGTGTTGGTTCTCGATGAAGCTACTGCCTCAGTAGATACAGCCACTGATAATCTGATTCAGCAAACACTTAGACAACACTTCTTCGAATGCACAGTTATCACCATAGCCCATCGAATAACATCTGTTCTTGATAGCGACATGGTTCTTCTGCTCAGCCACGGTGAGTTTATCTGAACCCTTCCCATTTCTCTGGTTAGTATTAGTAAAAAACACATCAGATTGCTAATGATGTAGTATCGTCGTTTTTCTGTCACCAGGCTTGATTGAAGAATATGATACACCAGCAAGATTGTTGGAGAACAAGTTGTCCTCGTTTTCTCAACTTGTAGCGGAGTACAGCGAGAGCTCGAAAGAACAGTATTGACCCAATCAAAGCTGCTTAAAAGTCCATCAACTGACATCAGATAGCCATAAGAGTTGCCTGCTGCTGCTGCTGCCTCTGATGATGATGAAAATTTCAGGAATGTTGCATTAATGGAGGGAAGAGTTTTGGGGGAGTCACGTTTAGGCATGAGTTTCTTCCTTTGCTGCCTCTTAAGAAGTTGCAGCTGTTATCTGTATCCTTATGAAACACTGAATAACATGCTTCAAAGCTATTTCGAGTTATTTCCCTCTCCTTGGTCACCCTGGTGAACCTTGGAGAAACCTGACAGTTTCTGTTGGTCGAACTACACAAAACTTGGCCTATCTTGGCGGGTAAAGCCCTAATATTTTTGGACCGAAACTTCCTGGACGTAAGGATCAGTCTGGACTAAATGACTAACTCCCGGGACTTCTTTGATCTTTGCGGAAACCAGAATTCAAGGACTCATTTAATATCAGTATTAAGTTCAAGGACCTAAAGTAGTATTAACCTCGTCCTTTGCTTTTGAAGCAATTTCATTATCCTTCCTCCGCATATGGCTTCCAATTCGGCAGCCGGAGATGAACATGAATGCGAGTGAATGAATGAGCAAATGGCTTCCGTAAAATTCAAATAAACAAATTCGAAGAACTGTTGTCGGCCCTTCCTCCAGTCTACCACTGAGAGGAGAGGGAGCAACCGCCAGCTCCGCCGCAACTGCCAGCCATCCAACCACTTGGACGAAGACCCTTTTTGTCTTCCTCCGCAGGCCCCAGCTGCCTCTTTCTAAAGAAAGGAAATAACCCCTCTCTCCTTTTCCGCTCCCAGTCTTCATTTCCCCCCGTTTCACAGTCTATCAAGACCAAAAAAAGGTTTCTTCAAGAGCCTATAAGTTCGAAGATATTTGTATTTGGCAGTTGCTTGTTTGTGCCGTTAACTCAACCAAATCGATTTCCCCCAATACTCCATTTTTGCTTGGGTTGACGTTTCGGAGGTTCTGGGTTTTGGGCGGCTAGTCGAGGCGAGGGCAGGCTCGCCAATGGAGATTGCATTCGAGTCCTCAATTCTGGGCCGACCCGTGTCCGTTTCAGGGACAAAGGTCTCATCTTTGCTGCGTTACAATCGGATTTCAAAGCTACCGTGCAATGTCTCTCGCAAGAATTATCACTACCCGACTCCGCTTTCCTCAAATTTTGTGAAGCCGTGCAGTTGCGGAACTGCTCTGAGTAATTCAATTGTCCAGAGAACCCGCGTGTTTGATAGAGTGATAGCTAGTTCGAGTTTGCTAGGGAAAAATGGTGGAGACAGGGTTACCGAAGGTAATGTTGCCCCGGATGTGAACTTGGAAACGATCATGGTGCTCTTGAAAAGGGGTGTTGTTTTGGGCGCAATGGTCTGTGGGATAGTGATGTTTGGATACAAACGGGTGTTTGCGGCTGAAGGAGTGGCGAATCCGGGCTATGGAGTTAGTGGGCAAAATATTTTGTTGCTGAGGAACTCTTGGCCTAGGCTGCAGATGCTCCTTACTGTTATCAAAGAGCAGGGTTTGATATTGGCTGCACTTTTGGGTTTATCTGCATTTTTCTCTATGGCTGAGACTTCCATAACCACGCTGTGGCCATGGAAGGTATGTTTTCTATAGCTCAAGAATTGGGATGATCTACTTTTGTAGAAATGCATTGGTTTTGTACATTAAATTGTTGAATTTGACTAGTGAATGACAATTATGTTTATTAAGCTTGTGGGACTTGATTACTCCAGCTCAGTATTCTCTTTTACCACTATGGTTCCTTCAGTTGGAAATCTCTGTGTACTTGTCAGGTACGTGAACTGGCAGAAAAAGAGACCGATGATGGCGGTGTCTTCAAACTGCTTCGCAAAGATGTCACTCGTTTTCTGACCACTATTCTTATAGGCACAACGTAGTACTCTTTCCTAACTGCTGTTTCGATTTGTGTTCAAAATTCCTTTTCTAACCGGTAATTCTATATGTGCTCTTAGTGTTGTCAATATTGCGGCCACTGCACTGGTCACTGAGGCAGCCACAACGATATTTGGCGAAGCTGGTGTCAGCGCGGCCACTGGAGTGATGACTGTATGTAAAACGAACTCTCTCTCTGCATTATATTCCTAGTGACTGATATCCTCTGAACTATCTAATTTGGCTTAAATATTAGGTGGCTATATTGCTGCTCACTGAGATTACTCCCAAGAGTATAGCCGTTCATAATGCCACAGAGGTTGTTAGGTTTGTGGTAAGTACATAGACAATTGCAGAAACTTGCTCTTTTATTGCTAACTCAGTTGTCTAAGTTAGTGTTGTCTATAATGCATGTAGGTCAGGCCAGTGGCTTGGCTTTCACTGATTCTCTATCCTGTGGGCAGAGTTGTCACTTACTTGTCAATGGGAATGCTGAAAATGCTTGGTTTGAAAGGGATAAGGTGAGTTCCTTTTCATAAATTCTTATGCATTGCCATGTGTTTTTGATTTGTTTGTTTTCATATTATTCATATTATTGTTTCATGACGAATGCCCCAACTCTTATCCACACTGGAAGAGAGGTGGTGAAGTTTGGGTGTCTGTAATGAGCCATTAATGCTAGGTGAAACATGAGCATGGTCCGAGTGGGCATGTTTTGGATCCATATGATGCACCTTATTTTCAAGTTTCTTGCTCTGTCTATTGGATAGACTGGTCACTGTCTCTAGGGTCAAGGCGAGTCAGTTGCGAGATTTATTTGCTATTTCTATAGTTATTTTCTTATTCTTCTTGGTCACTTTGTCTTCCATGGTATTTTGATTCCTAGAGGAATGATACTTGGACATTCTTATGAAGAAACTTTTCTGTCATTGACTGAAAAAGATTATGTCGTGCATGGGTCTGTCAGAATATTTTTTTAGAGTTAGTTGGAAACAGTTATGTGCCAGCATTCGTTGTTATCCACTGTGTAGTAAGCAGTAACTTCCCCTGTCTGAGTCGAATTATAGAATTTCTATAGTTACGCACTCCATAATGCGCAGAATAAACTGATGAATAATACTCTTATCCGTGCATCCTCTTGTCCTCTCCCTTTTCAGTTTTAATTTCTGTTGTCCTACATACCTATTCCCCAAATCTAATTTTGTGATAATGTTCAGCGAACCATATGTGACTGAGGATGAGCTAAAGCTGATGCTGCGAGGTGCAGAACTAAGTGGAGCAATAGAGGAGGAAGAGCAGGTGAACGATTCTGTCAATTTATTCCTACTTATGTGTGAGCACCATATGGATGATCTGTGTATACTCATATGCGTGGTAAAATCTGCATCCACTTTGTCTGAAAACAATAGTCTTCGTTAACCTAATGTTTTTGGTCCTATTTGCAAAAATCTTTATGAAATGGCAAATGGGTGTAGGTGCTTTTTCTCTCAAATGAAGAATATAAACTTCTGATGCAGGATATGATTGAGAATGTGCTGGAGATTAAAGATACACATGTAAGAGAAGTGATGACGCCTCTTGTTGATGTTGTTGCAATTGATGCAAGTGCAACACTCATTGATTTTCATGAAATGTGGGTGACACATCAATATTCAAGGTAAGCAAATGTGTGTATCGGTCTCTGATTCTGCATAAAGTCTTACATACTAAGCTCCGGTTTCTCTCGGCATTTTCAGGGTACCTGTTTTTGAACAGCGTGTGGACAACATTGTGGGTATTGCCTATGCAATGGATCTGCTGGATTATGTGCAGAAGGTTGGGCAGTATCTGCTTCCTGTCACCCCCTTTTCAAAGTTGCTGTAGTCTGTTTATTGATCATGAAAAAATCTCATAACCTGCAGAATGATCATCTGTTTAATTTTGAAGGGTGAGCTACTAGAAAGCACCATCGTGGGGGACATGGCTCACAAACCTGCATATTTTGTACCAGGTAAACTTGGCTCATGTACTGTGGTTATATTTGACGAAATGAAAATCTATATCCAATGGTAAAAAAAACTCAAGATCCCTTTTGTGCTTGTCTTTCTGTTGGTTCCAATGGAATGTCAAGAATTTATTTTCTGCCATAATGAGTGCATTAGTCAGATCTAGTCACTAAGCCCCAATTGCACTAAGTAGTTCAGTTCTGCTTATCGGTTTTATTTTCTTTTATATATAAGCTTTAGTTTCTTCCTGTTCTTTGATTTTCTAATTCTATCTGAATCAGACCATTCTGAACTTTCTGATGGAACTAATTTTGTTTTTTGTTCTCATCAACTCTCTGGCGGGAACTTTTGATGTTCTAGATTCCCGAGAATACTGAGCTTAGAGAATTTGAAGTATAGGTAACTTATCAATCGAGGTCTAGAAATACATCAATATGAAGGACATTACTCGTTTCACTGGATTTTGTTACATGCTCCTTTCCTATTTTGTTTGTTCTTGTCAAAATAGTAAAATATACTTCTACCGAGAAAATAAAAATAAAGTATACTATCCACTGGATAAACTGCTCAAACCTAGCGGTCCAATTGAAAAGCTTCATGATTGCCAGTTCAATCTGCTGAACATATTATGTTTCAGTAGTGAAGGATGGCTTAGCTTCAGTGCTATACTTGTTTTTCATATTGTGGGAAGTCGTGTGGGAGAAGATTCTATCCTTGAATTTTGTTTTGATATCAAAGGTTGCTTGCTGTTGTTTTGTTGGTCTTCATCATAATTTTTTTGCTGACGAAGTATGCATTTCTTCTGCAGATTCAATGTCCGTCTGGAATCTTCTCAGAGAATTCCGGATCAGGAAGGTTCACATGGCTGTTGTCCTTAATGAATATGGCGGTACTGTTGGAGTATGTACTAACTTGACCTCATTGCATATTTCAGAAATACAATTCTCCATTTCATTATGGATGACAAGTAAAACTACTTGACTGTCCATTTGCTCTGCGTGATTGGAGATAGGTAATTAATCGTGGTTAGACATTGACAAAAGAGAAACTGGGCCCTACTTGCTAGGGAATATAGTGATAGTTAATAGACGAAACACCCAGTAATGACTCGAAGTGTGTGTACTTGGTGGAGGTTGCTGCGGAGATAATTTTGGATTTAAATATTAGGCCCAAGAGTTGGAAAGGAAACGTTAAGCAATGTTGGCCACTTCGTGCAGAAACTAATTGTTTTTGTCTATTCACCTTGTTCCTTATTAGATGTCATAACATAATATAATTTGTTCCAGAAGGCTAACTCTACTTAAAAGCGCGTATTAGTAGTGAATAATGGTGCCTTGATGCGTCTAAATGATGACTAATCTAATTTGTTGATAAGTCATTCAATAGAAAAAGAGGTTTGTATTTAATATCTGAAAGGGATGCAGATATCTCATGGGGCATGCATTCTCTAAACAATCTTGGACAATCTCAAATGCAATTTTCACATTTCATGTAGACAACCACATGAACAATATACCCACTTGTTTATTTATTGTATTCTATTATATGACTTATCTTTTTTCATATTTATTTTGCCAATATAGTTGGTAACCCTTGAAGATGTTGTTGAAGAGATTGTTGGTGAGATCTTTGATGAAAATGATTCAAAGGTAAACATCCGGCATTTGTGTGCATTCTGATAGCCCTATGTGGCTATGTCTACTCGTTCATGCACATGTCTCTTGTCCAATTGTTGGTACATATGAACTCATGGTACAATTTTGAACCTTTTGTTTTGGTACTGAGTAAATACTATACCACCCAGTTTTCGACATGCTTATAATGGTTAATGTCACGTTTTTTTTCTTAGAGAATCCTAGTTGTATTTCTCATGTGCTTCTTTTTCTGGTGAATATGCTCATGTGTTTGGATCATAGCTGGAGTTGATCATTGACAATGTAATTCTATCACAGGAGGAGATACAGAAGAAAACTGGATATATAGTAATGCGAGCAGAGGGAGTGTACGATGTTGATGCCAATACATCAATTGATCAACTCTCTGAAGATCTAAACATCAAAATGTCAGAGGTATGTCATGAATGGTTTGATTTAGTTAAGGGTAACGGAGTACATACGCTTATGGCAGCTTAGAGTTGTCCGTACTATTATGAAGATTTCAGTGGTTAGCAACTCAACTTGCACATTTGATTAACCTGAAGTGTAGATCTTTTTTCCCTCCAATTTATTAAGCATATTACATGCATAAACAAACACTAACAGTATCTCATTAAAGTTTATTTTACAAGGTTTGTGAGCGGAACATGGCATTACTCTATGATTTATGCAGGAAAACAGTTGTTCTTATTAGTAACATGAGCAGAATTTCTACACAATATGCTTTTTACTTGGTGTGTGTTAATTGCATTACAGTCTTGAAGCTTAATGTCATCTAGTCTGGTCACACGCCTTTTCATTCATTTCATTGATGTCTTTCTCAAGGAACTCAAAAAACACTCAGCAACCTTCATATACACCTTTTTGGTTTTAACTTGTACCTGGTCTTCAGAAATGGTTGCAGATGCTTGAAGAACATCATATAAGCTCAACTTTTGTAGTCCTACTCCAATACTTCTTTTTCTGTGTTGTAGGGTCATCAGTATGAGACAGTATCAGGTTTTATATGTGAAGCATTTGGATACATCCCAAGGACAGGTGAGAGCATCAAAGTGGTTCTTGACAAGTCGAATGAAGAAGATGAGGATACGGAGGGCAAGTCTGAAAGAGAACTGAATGAGAAGCATCTAATATACAAGCTTGAGGTATGATTAAGGAAGCTTTGTCTTTTGAACCTCTGTTGTCTTGAATGAAAGCCTTGCTTAGGGTGTGGTATGGAACAAACTAAAGATGAGAAATTTTGATGGTTGAATAATTTTCTGGAAAATAGTTTTGCATCTTAGTTTTGGTTGACAGCATCAAAGGCAATAGTTTGGTCAGTCTTTCATCAATCAAGTTAAAGATTCTTGACACTATTGTAACTGTTGGTTTGGGCATGGTTGTCAAACATGCTTAAGATCAATCTGTACTAAAGTTTTTCCCTAAAATCTTACAAATTGCGAAGATCAACGATCTCAGGAAATGCCCATATGATCCCATAATTTCGTATAGCATATAGAGAGCACTCAAGTATTACAATGAATGATTTATTACCTTAACCATTCATATTTTCAACCTACATAGCTACTTTAGCATTCAATAATGAACTCGTCCACTGTAATCCTAAGCCTCTTTTCTTGGGGAGAAATGGACACTTTGCATTTATTGTTTCATCTCTGTCGTAATGGCATGCAAAACTGATCTTGTTTCTTCAAGAAAAAAGGACTCATTTGTAAAGTCGTGTCCAATATTATATGTTGCATTTCCTGCATAGGAAGTATATAGAGAGAAGGGCAAGAGGCTATATTTTATGGTGAGCTCAGTTATGGACCAATGCAGTTATACGTTGTTGTATGTGTTCCTTTCATTTAGATATTAGCTGGAAATGCGCGAAAAGTCGGTGCAGTTCGGTTTGAAAGGATACACAATAGCGAGGAGGCTGTGGAGGCCAAAGAAGTAGGTCGCATGATTCCAAAGTTCAAGAAGAGGAAGTGGAGCAGCAGCGGAGAAGAGTCTGATTACGAGGAGGATTCGTTACAAGTGAGACCTGTGCATGCTCTTTCCGATTCCAATGTAGTGGCTGAACGTGAAGAAGAAGAAGAAGAAGAAGAAGATGATCATGCTGAGAATCCCAGTAGACATTAGAAATTAGATAACTATCCTCTCTTTCTGCCCCCTCCATGTTTCTTATATTTCTTGGGGTTGAGGTTTCTTTTTTGTGCGCTGGTTTTTACAGTTCCCAGTGAAAAAGGCCACTAAAGAAAAACACACTTTAGAAACACCAGCAGCAGGAAACAAAGACAAATGCTGAGGAACTCTAATTGTAAAAAAAAAAAAAAAAGTTTCAGAGATGAAGAGAGGTATCAACTTCTGATTCATCAAAGTAGTTGTATTGAGTTTGCATCATCAGGAGATTTGCAGAGCGCAGATTTGCCAAATCTGGGATCTCTCTGACTTGAAGATCAAAGTGACATTGTCCATTCATTGGTTTCTGAGATGAAATCAATAGCTGCTGCTTAGATGGAAAGAGAAGCTCAGGGTGAGAAAAGTTGTTTTGTGGCTCGTAAACAACCGTGGCGGTGGCTACTGGTTTCACCTGCTGCTCTGCTTCAGCGAAGAACCGGAAGAGCTCACGTTGTTGCCTCATCTCCCTGGCTCGCTCTAGCTGCCGGAACCTTTCCTGGAGCAAGGCAATGGAAGAAGAGTGCATGATTGTTGCAGTGGGTTCATAGCTCTGCTGCCTGTCCATTGAATGAACTGTGATATGGGTTTGGTGCAAGAATTGATTGATTGATTGATGGCAGAAACAAAGGTTGGAAGGAAGGAGGCAAGTTATGTTTGCAATGCTTGGCTTGTGAAATACTGAAATAGCCATGTTTGTTACTATATATAGGGCATGACAGGGTGATAATTGGGTTTGATCAGTGGTGGTGTTGGATTCTGAATGACGTATGAGAGAGGTGGAGGGGAAAAGCAGATTCGGCAGCCGAGTCACTAAGTCCAAAGAGGAAAAGCCATGGATGAATGTGGCTAACCTCAAAGAAAGGAAGAAAGAAAGGAAGAGGGAAGCCAGCAAAGTTTGGTGGATGCGGGAAAGTGGCAGATGGACTTTCTTTCTTTCATTGCTTGAATTACAAGGTAAAAAAATAAAAATAAGAAGCAGTCCAAGGAAAGGAATAATGGAATGTAGCAGTTGGAAGGGCATTAGGAGTGGGAATCAAAAGGGTATGTTGGGCGAGTTCTACTGTCGGCTTTTGTGTCCACAAGATAGAGGTGCCTCCCCTCGTTTCTTGGGGTCTCTCTTCTTTTCATCCCTCTTGTAGTTCATTTTTAGTTTTTTTTTTACAGCAAGAAGTAAAAATATTTACTGTTTTCACTTTAGCTATGCAAAACTCTCTCTTTTGCGACTCTTATTAGTGGGAGGGTCTGGCTACTAAGAGGAACTTGTGAGACCTCGTTGGAACATTCGTTCGGTTATTTCTTTCTCTTTTAAGCGATGGATGTCCTCTCTCTCGAGAATGTGACAGAAATATAAACGAGTATTTTCAGTATTATTTCGAGTGCTTGAAGATATAACTCGGAATTCGAATTTTGCAATTGGTCGATCAGCAAGTGGAGATCCTCCGAAGTTTACCATTTCTGGGTTGGGGGGTGGGTGGGGTGGGTCATCCCTTTTGCTAGTTTTTGAGCCACATCCAACCAGATAGAATAGTCTCGTTGATGCTCAGCCGATAGGGAAATGAGGTTTAGAATATGCTTGACCGATAGAGAGGAGGTTTAGTCGGTTGGGTCTTCCTTCCTATCATCTTTATCCCTCGAATCCGGGAGAGTTCTATACCCTAGGTTTCGGCTTTGTTGAGGTGGTGGACTCAGAATGCCTCTGAGTCATCTATAATGTCACAATTATTCACCTTCTACTCACTTGCTTATGCTAAGTAACGGACTTTAGTGCACTTAAGATGTTACCGCGCAAGCTAAAAATACTTCTAATGGTTGTCTGTATGGCTCGAGAATCCCTATTTGTACTCGATGAACTGGTCAGATCGTGTCAACACTTCTTTCTTATAGAATTTCCAGGACTTGGAATTAACTCAATTGTAACTCTTTTTCATATTAGCTAATGAAAATTCAATCCTTGACCAAACAAAATGAAAGATTAAAAAGGGGAAAAACCCCTTTTTGATTAGTGGAATATGGATGGAATGGGGATGTGGAAGACAGGACAAAGCCTCCAACAGGGAATAACTTTAGAACTTGCTGAATGCTCTCTTCCTCTTTCTCTGTCGTTTTGTATCATTAAAATATTCTAAGTGCATTTAGCTATAATCGATAAAGATATGTTGGCGATTCTACCCATGAAAGGATTATTATTATTATTATTATTATTATTATTATTATTATTATTATGCTTATGATTATTATTGTCATTGTTATTGTTGTTGTCGTAGCCAATTGGTTAATAATGTGGAGAGCATATGATCATATTTACCTTCCATTAGAACTACAGAGCCAGCTAGTTGTCAGTCATTACCTACATCTCGCCATTTGCAGACTTCATTCATCTGCACTTTTGTTCACATGTAATAACGAATAAGTTTTACGGTGACAAGGCCGTCGCTAAAATGGTTAACGTGTTTTTAATCGTTTATGGTTCGAAATTTGCCTTATGTTGAGGTTTACTTGAAGGTGCTCTTTCGACATTGTAAGATAAAAGGATAACTTAGTATTTGTGATTATTATATCGTCATTAGTCAACCATCTTCGTTTAGTAGTTTTTCCTCCACATTCCCAGTTTATATCTCTTCTTTGTGTACGCAGATTTGTCGAGTTTGTTGTTGTCTTCTTTTACAACTTGTTGAGATATGATAAGAGCTCAGGAAATTAAATTTTCAATTGTATTTCTTATGTATGGAATGAAAAAAGCTAGAAACGTCATAGTCGCTTTGGCCGAGTGGTTAAGGCGTGTGCCTGCTAAGTACATGGGATTTCCCCGCGAGAGTTCGAATCTCTCAGGCGACGAAAGTAAGTCATATTTTAACCATCTAAAAGAAAAGTTTGAAATGAATTTTCATGATAAATGGAATCTTACAAAAAAAGTAAGTCATATTTTAACCATCTAAAAGAAAAGTTTGAAATGAATTTTCATGAGAAATGGAATCTTACGAAAAATATAAATTTACAGATATGGAATGAGTAAAATTAAAATTTATTATTATTATTTTATCACTTCACTATTTCTTTTTGTTTCTCTACATTTCACATCTCTTTTCAAAAGAAATACAGTTATTTATTAAATACAATTCATTTTCATCATTCTTGTAATTAGTCTAAAACAAGAATTGAAATTGAAAATTGAATTCTAAAAGGATATGAAATTATATTAGTGGATAGGGGTGTACATGATCGGGTGGTCCGGGTTTAGTCATTTTAATCATCCGACCTATACACTACGGTTTATGGAATATTAAACTCAAACCAATCAAAAAAATTCAAACCCTACGGTTTGTTTCTAATTGGGTTGGGTCGGGTTGGCGATATTTTTAATTAAGAACTCAACTCAACACAAAATATGTAATTATTCTACACTAAGAAATATTTTATAAAACTAATTAAAATTTCAAATGACTAATCAAAATTCACAAATGTTGTTTGAATTTTATTAAAATGTGATTTACTTCAACATATGTCTAGTTTTTTTCACGACATTTATTGAAATAAGCTTCAAAGATTATAAACTAACGCATCCATAATATGTTATTCTGTTAAAATTGTACACAAGAAAAAGAATTACGTGAATCATAGCTATATTAAACTTATGTCTAAACTTTAAGCCGAAGAATGCATTAGATTAAGGAGACCATGAGAGAAAAACATGGCGAAATATCTTAATTTTCTCATAAGTATCGCTATATACGCAATAAATATTTTTTGGATACGAACTCATACCAATAGTTGGAACACGGGTTAGATCGGGATCTACGTGTTTTGTAATCCAAAAATTCAAACCCAACCCAAAAGAGGCGGGTTGTACAAAAGAAAACTCTCACCCAACCCAAAATCTTCGTTTAGCGATAAATACTGGTGGGTTGGGTCGGGTTGGACGGGTGGGTCGGTTTGCGGGTGTGTTTGTTCACCCAGTGGAGACGATGGGGTCGGTCTATGAACTTTCCTTCCTTTTGCCGCATTTCGCTAAAGGGTTGAAGGGAGATAGTGCATCAAGTTGTTCGCACGGGGTAACTTGATCCTCTTCCCCATGGATCCTAGATGAGGGAACCCTAGGAGAGATGCTTACTCCAACTATTGTCAATGTACGATCCATACTAGATCTGACCAACTGCCCATCTTACCTCCTTTACGTTCTTGACAACCCATCTTTATCTCAGTAGAGTCTTTTAGTGACATGTTTGAACATGAAGTAGATTATCATATTCCTGAAATTCAACTCTATGCAAAATTGAAAATTTTACCACTCACGGAGTGTAGAATTTTTTTTGGGTATTAAATATCAATAACTAGCTAGTTTCAATTATGGATCTTATATCATTCTTTTATCTCTTCTCAAATATTTGAAATTTGCACAGTCTCATCATCCCATGTCAATTGATAATATTAGTGGTTGTGAAAATCATCCAAACACAAGTATTTACAGTCAAATGCGTTTATACCATGCAAGAGCAAACCGGTACATATAACTTGAGGTATTGGGAGACGCCTAGTATGAATTTCACATCATAATTTCTCAATTTTTACGCAAATTCTCAATCCAGTCAATCTCGATACAATTCATATTTATTAACTACAATCAATGTTCCTTGAATGGAACGTCATATGTAACTCGTTAGTCATTACTCGTCATACACACTTTTTCTTTCAACGTGATGAACCGAGAAAGAATTGAGATTGTTTCTTAGTACACACTCTTGAGATTTATGCAATGTACCTACTACCACATCTTTATTTCAAAATTTCCCTCCGCAATCCATGGGGAAGCGAAAGACATTGCAGAAAAAGGAAGAGCGTGCCACAACAAAGATAACCACTGTAGCCTCTGCCTCTTCCTCTCTACTCTGTTTTCCTCTGTTTTTTTTTTTTTGGCGTCGAGCAGTTTGGATCAAAGTGGCATGGAACCATCCCACAGTAACAGCAGCTTGAACAAAAGGGTTCTGTCATTTTGCTCTGTGGAAGCTAGCTGTGAACAAAGTGACCCCAAAAATCTCTCCCCCCAGTTCCCCTGTCCTTTTAGACCTTTTTTTTTTCTGAAAGTTCATTTTAGTGGGTGGGAAAGGAGGGCGCGTGCTTAAAGAGGGAAAAGATGGAACAAAAGCTACTTCCCGCCTTTAGCTTTATCTTGTAGCTAGGGGAATGTCTCCACCTGCATGGCTGCTATATGGAGCCTATACCAGTGTAGTTGGAATAGCAAATGGGGACACGAACACAGACATTCCTTTCCCTCTTTAAATCTTCTCGTTTATTGATCCCTAGAAGGTTTTGTGATCCCCAATGTGAATCACTACTACTACTAGTTCATTCTTCCACAATTTGCTCTGCCCTTTTGGCCCCTCAATTGCCCTTCTTCCACATGTTCCTTTTGGTTTCAATATTCTTTTATTTGTATTGAGAGAGAGAGAGAGAGAGAGAGAGAGAGAGAGAGAGAGAGAGAGAGAGAGAGAGAGAGAGAGAGAGAGAGAGAGAGAGAGAGAGAGAGAGAGAGATGGAGAGGGAGAATGATGATGGTGTACTCTGTTTTGGACTTTTGGTGTTGGGTATGATAATGGAACTTACTTTCTCTCTGTTTTTTTCTTGTTTGGAAGTTTGCTTGTTTATCCCTTGGTAGATGAACCTATAGCTACATGTATTGATCCCACCTCAATGCCAATGCACTTTTGATTTTGGGTGGGATGGAACAACCAATTTGAGTTTGAGGGGTTAATTGATGTATTGTAATTAATGAACCAAGCCGCTCGGAACAATTCGGCATTTGATTCGAGAAAAATTCATTCGACATTCGATTTGTTTTTCAACCGAGCCGGCTCGCGAACAAATTCATCTGTGAACGAGTTAAGCTCGAGCCTTGACATGTTTATTTTGATAGGCTCACGAACAAGCTCGAAAGCCTTTAAGTGTTTGTTGTTGGTGCCTTAAGAACTGAGTTCGAACTCGAGTTTGAGCTACAATCGACATTTTATCACCAAAACTCGATGTTTGCTCATTAAGATCATTTGGCGAGTTGAGTTCGAGCGGAGCTTCTATTTTTGTAAACGTGCAGAGCTTGAGCTTGCCTATTAAAACTCGAACTTGAGCCGAGCCCGTACCATGGTAAACGTCGGCTCGGATAATTAACAACTCTAATTGTGATGGGTTACATGTTTTAGTGAATTTGGTATACAATTGAATACAACTTTTGACAAATGTGTTTGTATTTTTTACCATTAATAAGATAGTCGATTTTTAAAAGAAATGTCACTTTCACCTCTTCTTTTAATGCAAAAAATACTTTTGAAGGATAAAACTTTTAAAAAAATAACAATCTC